GTTGCGGAGCGGAGGGACGAGGCTTGTATTTGTAGCGAAGAGCAAGAAGGAGTACTATTAGCAGCGGAAGCGTGGTGGCGGAGGTGGCGCCATTGGAGAGGGGGGGGCGAGAGCGTGTGGGAGAGGGGATTAATTCAACCTGACCGAGCGCCGCGTTCTTGGACCTCCTCCGTTGGCTAGTACTTACATGGCGTTTGAAGTCGGCAAGCAATGCCAGGTCGCACCCCTGCCCCGAGATTTCGCCGGCCGTCACGCCTGTGCGTCGTAAGTATTTAATGTGAAGTGGATTGGTCGGGTATACCAAAAGCCCTTCGGGAAGAGGGAAGGCGAGCCGGGTGCTTCACCGAGATTCTCAAATGGAGAAGGTGACTCTAGTACTACTTTGTCGCGTAAAAACACGCACGTACCCTGAAAAAAATCTACATTTTGCGCGAACGGCTGGGAGAGAAAAATTATGAACAGGATGTAGTTTGGGGTGGGCGGCGGGGGGGCTCGTTGTTGGGGATGGGTATATTATATATAACTCTCGTCTGCAGTAGGCATGGCGGCAGTTCGAGGTGGATTTTTGCCGCCGTCAGAAATGAGTTATCGATGGCTCCTTGCCACAGCGAGAGTGCATGCATTTCTTCACTTGTTTCAATATTCTACGTAGTGCATCCGCGCGTGTGTGTGTGGCGCTAGGTGGCCCGGGTGAGGAAAGGGGATGAACGGATGGACGCACGGACGGTTGGGCCTCTCGTGCTCCCTCCTAAAATACTCTTGCTAAACTTTTTTGGTGCGTTTTCGTTTTAGTTGCAGTATTTTGTCTCTTGAACGGTTCGATTACCATTATGGTTGTAGGTGTGCATCGTGTGCATCTTCCGCGTTTCTTTGTGCCTGTCTTTGTATAACATTTGTATAACATTCCCGAGATGAGAGCAGCAAAAGTTGGGCGGATGTATATATATCCTTGAGAAACCTTTCATTCCCAACCAGTTTCACGCCTCCACGTCAGACTGCTTGCATGCATGTGTGTGGGTTTTTTTGCCAGCATGCGTCTGACCCGTCGTGGCGCCTTGTGTACAAGATGTCGGCGTCGCGCCACAGCAGTTAGTTACTACGCCCGACGCACGGGTGCGTTTGCTTTCTGGCTTGAAACAGCCGACTGTTCGTCTTCCGCTCACGGGCGGGGTCTCGGGGAGCTCGCCTATTTTGTCACATTCTCAGTGGTGTGCGTGTCAAGTCTACACACATAGGTGGAACGAACAAAACAGCATGAAAAAGCACAGTACGTAGTCAGCTATTGTACCGTCGAGAAGAGAGCAGTAGGTTCCTCGTTTCACCCAGAAAAAGAAGAGGACAGCAAGACTCACCGTGCAGTGCAGCACGTACAAGGCTCACGGTACAGTACCATTAGTAGTGTACAAACCACAATCAATCGCATTGTTTGCCACTCATTTTCGAAGTTGAACGCGCGCCAAAACAACGAGAACACCCGAGTACCCCCCCCCCCTGCCTTCCTTCTCATAAAACGCGCTCTCGAAGTGTTGACAACCCACAATACACCAAGATTATTCTTACAGATACATAGCACTCAAGCAGACGTTGTCGTGTCCCGAATGAAGAGGTGGCAGCCTTTCACGGATAACTAAAAAAAACAAAGCCGTGAGTTTTGGGTGTTGAATTGCGGCCAGCCGAGTTGCATTCTGATGGAGCAACATGCGGCAAAACCCGGGGCAGCACACGCGCCCTTTGAGGCACCCAACAAGCAAATCTGCAAAAACACACGCACACACAGTAAAAGGGGGCCCAGGCCATGACCTTTTTTTACTACAAGCGTCTTCCGTTATTAGCCGCACGTAGACTGGCGTCTCTTCATTGTGGGCAGCCAGCCGATCAGAGCGGTCGGTCGGTGCGAAATATGAGTACACACAAAACAACGCGGTCGACGCTAGACAAACCAAAGGCGCGCACACACACCGCACGCATCAACCAATACACACGCCGAAGAGCGCCAAACCAACGAAGAAGATCGAAAAAGTCGCGGCAGACACTGACCGCTGGCTTGTGCGCTTTTGAGATTGACCGCGCCCTAAAAGGTAGTGCGCTTGGCAGCAGCAAACACCAAAGGGATCTCTACCTATATTCATCCGTTCTGCAGAAAGGCGAGAAGAAGAGAATATAGCTCTAAAAGAGAGCGAGAACACCAGTCGGCCCAAAACAGACGAGGAACAGAAAAAAATACACACAAATGAGCATACACACACCAATACGCAGCCTCGCGATTCACTTTATTTCGTCCCCATGGGTCATTTCCGCTGCGGTCCCTTGTCGTTTCCGACGGACAAACAAAACAGCCCCAACACATTCAGCACCGCTTTGTCGACACGTTTATACCACATATAACAATTACTGGCCCTTGCCAAGAAGTTTCGCCAAAACAAGCGCACCCGCCAGAATGGCGAAGCGCTTCAAAACACAGCAGTATACACATTTTTCACTTCATCACCAAAAAGCAAAAAAAAACAACGACGAACGAACCCGTCTACCGGAGCCAAGTCGATTCGACAGAGAGCGCAATCTCTGTTTCTGAAGATGATTACGCACTGTTTTCCCGCTGTGACCGCGGGGGGGTACAGCTGAACAGGGTGCGTGCGGGATCAGGATCCAGGCGGCGCGAGCGCGCGAAAAGCAACAAAAAAAAGTTGGTCGGACGACTTGTCACGGTGGGGAGCGGCGACAATCAACATCTACATGTCTTCATCATTTGGCACTCCGTTGTTGTCGGTTTGTGAGCAGCCAGCCAGCCAATCCACCATTATTTCTTGTCACCGACATCTGTCACCGACTAAATGTTTCCCCCTGGAACGGCCCAAGGGCGTTCGTTGATCTTCGCTTGGTGGGGTGTTGTGGTCGCGTACTATCCCAGCCGCGTGCAACAGCACGGGGACGGCAGCGGCGTTGGTGATGGCCTTCATTCTCCGCGTTTTCCCGAGAGCGCAGGGTTTACGGATTCGGATTCGGCGCCCACCCACCCACCCCCGCCCCGTGACCAAGACGGACGATTTTCCATGACTCCGACGAAACCAGGGTCCGCACAAAAAAAAAAAAACTAACGTTAACGTTCGTTGCCCCTGGGCGACGAGGAGCGTCTCATCCGGATTTGTAAGGTGGCGTCCGTTGTCCCTGGATTTCGATTTCAGTCCGAGACGACTCTGTTGAGGCTGTCCATCACGCTCGGCGGGAGCAGGCCCAACGACTCTGCCGGCGAGAGAGGAAAGAAAAGTCGACGAAAGATGAGCGGCGTCTATGCATAGGGGGGGGAGGGGAGCAGGGAATATGAATAAACGATTTTTTGCTATTAAATTTATAGACGCAACACCCGATACGATTATAGATGGCTTGTCTCGGAGGAATGGGACCCAGCCGACAGTATGCCACTCGTGCCATTTCCACCAGACGGGTTCCACACAACCACAAAAAACGCGGCGTGGACACTCAAACTGATTTCGAACTAACGGTAAAAGCAAGCATCTCTGCTGCCGTTCTTAACCACCGCTGCTGTCTTGCATGCATACCCTTCGTCGACAAATCAAACAAAAAAGGTATGCCTTCAGGACCAAGATGATTGATGGAGGGAGGGAGGGAGGGAGGGGGAAAGCCTTGCACCTTCTACCACATCTACCACATCTACGACGACATGACTAAACCAAGGCACGCACGCACGCACCGACGTCCTCCCAGAGCCTGGGGTTTCCTCTGACCACCGAGGCGGTCATCTCGAACAGCGTCGGGAAGGCCACCCCTCCAGCAAGCACCAGCGTGCAGTTGTTGCCGCACGCTACGTGCATAATCTCCCGCCTTGGTGCGAAAAACACGAGGGTTGTACGATCACAGGAAGGCAGGCGTCGAGGGGGGGGCGGGGGAGACGTGACTCGTTGTGGCTCTAGGAAAGAGCGAGTGCCCTTCGCATTCGTGCGATCGATCAAACACCCGATTTCCGGCACACAACTCCCAAGCGTAAAAAGACCTCAACACATCCCCCTTATTAATAGCATGCTCTCGATGGGGGAAAAGGGGGGAGGAGACAGGTGTGAGAGGAGTGGTACGGGGAGGGGGTCACCTAAACATAATTCAAGTCGCAGTGTGTTTGACCATCGAGTTTCCACTCTCTCAAAAGCGGACGGGACGGAACACGCAGGATTACTGATTTTTTTTCCCATCAGGACAGCCAGGCTTGCACAGCACCAAGCACGGAGCGCCGTGAGGTGCTCGGTGCTAGAGTCGGGCGAAGCGCAACCTTGCATCCTGCCGAACACCTCTCGGCATCCTGCTGCCTACATGCATTTCTTCTCTGATACACGCACGACAGCCTGGAACCACTCTTCTTCTTTGCAGCAGCCCGCCACTTCCAGGCACAGAAACGAGCTGCTGAATACAAAGAGCCTCCACGTCACCAGTGTCGGATATTATTTTCCAAACCACACCCCATGTTATCCGCAACTAAAGTATCCCCTTTGAGCTGAGCGACTACAACGTTCTTCACCCGATGCATAATCGTTTGGTCAACCACCCTTCACGGGGGGGGGGGGGTTCACCTCCCGCTCCCTGACTTTTGGCAAAAGCAACGCACCCACCGATGCATCCGCACACGTACCTGGTACTCTTGAGAGCCTGCACGAGACGGGGGAAGTCTTCCCTAGTGGTCGACTCGTGTCCCAGCTGGCCTTTTTGACCGGCCCCGAACGACCACACCTGTTGGCGGAAGGGGGAGGGGAGAGATAGGGCAAGAGACACCAACGTCAAGCAGGTGGCAGCGCTACACGGCTGACAAGTGTTGTAATTGTTTCGTGTCGGAAAAGCAAAACGTTGGCCTGTGACCACAGAAGGCTCCCGAGTCAGTTGGACGGACATTAGAAGGTACCGAGTAGAGACAGGAACGATATTGTAATGTGAAGACAACAACAACAACAACAACAACCACCACCACCATCCAATTTGTACTCAGCCCGCGGCTCGCCAAATTCGCGCAGCATCATACCTACCAACAACAGAGCATCCACCCCGTCGCGGCCCCCATCCCAGCCTTAACTGCTTCCTTCCAAGCTCACCCGCGGCTACCCCGCCAACTACAAGCAGGCGGACTAAATCGACCTTTGCATCTTCACTCTCGCATGACCAATGCCATCCCGTCTGTTTCGAGTACTGCCCGACAATCGATATTTACATCTTCGCTCTCGCGTCGTGAACAATGCCATCCCCACCTGTTTCGAGTACTGCCCGACTCCCCGATGGGGTGGGATCCGCAACTGCAGTCAAGCTACCACACACGAAGCAACAACAAGATTAGCCCTCTACCTCGCCCCCGCCTTCTCCACCTTCTTTCCCTCTCACGATAAAGGCGAAAACGCCCCCGATCCCCAGCCAACGGTGTCTTTCTAAACGAGGCAGACCGCGGCAAAAAAAAAAACGCGGAGTCCCCTCCCCTGAACACCCTCTGCTCCCCCATTCCCTCCCGAACAAACACACAAAAAGGTCAAGTCTCAAACTATCCTACCATCCATATGTTGACAATATCCCGCTCTCTCGGGTCATTTCTTCTCTCACATAAATAAAGAAGCATCACAATGATCTCCTCTCTGACTTTGACAGTGCCCCCGCCCGACTCCTTCGCTCTTTCCTCACACACACACATAACACACATCTTCTCTCCGACCTCTCCATTCTTTGACCATACCCCCCAGTCAGTCTCTCTCTCTCTCTCTCTCACACACACACACTCACACAAAGAACACACGCCTCCTCTCTCTCTTTCACACACACAAGCAACACGCATCTCCTCCTTTTGTCACCTCCCCGTTCTCCGCAACGGCTACCGAGTGCTCGCCGCCGCACGCGATCTGCTTGATCTTGAGGTGCTGGAGACGGTCGATGAGGCAAAAGTCCGCCTGGAAGGGATGACCTCTTTCGTTCTGCACAGAGATAACAACACCAGGGGGGCGAGCGGTGCAAAGACATGGGGGATCGTCAGGCGATCGAGCATGAGCGTGGTGGCATGGCATGAAAGGGATGGCCTCTCTCGTTCTGCACCAAGATAACAACACATTGGGGCGAGCGGTCCAAAGACATGGGGGATCGTCAGGCGATCGAGCACGAGAGTGGTGGCATGGCATGAAAGGGGTGCCGTGTTTCGTTGGCAGGGGAGGGGTGAGCCAAGAGGGCGGCGGCGGCAGACAGCAGGTCGTAGTAGACGGGGCGTGGAAGCAAAAATGCACGACTAAAACCACGGGCAACAAAAAAAATGCCAGGAATCCTCGGGTACGGAGGAGTTCCACCCAATAGAGGTCGAGAGAGGGATTGCAGTCTACACTTTCGTCGTATGAGCGCGCCTTCTCCCTCGCTTCGGGAATCCCTGGAGCTAGCCTTTTCGTTTGCATGATTCTGCAGTCTCTGCCGTCATTCTATTCTCAGTTCAGAACCGCTGCGACATCAAATGTGGTAGGCCCTTAACGGTGGCCGACCTGAAGCTGTCTAGACACTTGTTTTTTTGTCATTAATAGTACGGGCTCACTTGAGGAAATCCCTGAGGGCTGCCGAGCCCTAGCTGCCCCTGGTAGTTCCGCCCGCACACGTACAGCTGGCCGTCCACCGTCAGAGCCGCGCTGTGCCCCCACCCCGCCACAACCTTCACGATGTTCTGGACGCCAAAAGAACAACAAGAGAACACACACGCAAAAAACAAACAAAAAAAAAATCGAAGAATGAGAACAAAAAAAAATGACGTGGTAAATACTGCATAAAGAAGAGAATGAAAGGAAGCGAGTGAGCGTGACAAGGTAGTGCGCGACAGGAAGAGCGCGACATGGGCCGACACCGCTGTCGCTCGGGTATTTAGGTACACAGCTCCGACCGGAAGAGGTAGGGTGGACACACCAAAACCCACATCGACATACGCCCAGGCAGGCGTCTCCAAAAAAAACTTCGCGGTCATAGGTGCAGCGATAACAACAAGAGAAACACAACACAACAGCGAAAAGACGCAAATCTCGGAGAGGGCAAACAAGCCAGCCACGACGGGAAAACAAGGAAAATAGAACGTCTAGCAAGGGCAACCCGCGACATGCATCACAAAAAAATAGCATGCCCCTCCCCCCCCCCCCGATCCTGGTCGTTGCTATTGCACCGTCAACGTCCTCACCATGCCCACAAGAGACTCCACCAGCTGAGGGCTTGGCAAGAAGTAGGCTCCCTCCATGTTCCTCGGCACGGTGAAGGAGTTTCCGATGCCTAGCTGAGCGACTCGGTTGTGACCCCACGCGTACACTTGGCCCTGTTAAATGGCGTCGTCAAGCGGCGCGCACGTACGGGCAACAAAACAACAACGCGAAGAATGAAACGAGGTAAGGGTCGAAAGCGGGGGAGGGGAGGGGAGGGGAGGGGAGGGATAGACAATCAAGCGCAAGTGGGCAAGAAGCACACCCGGCAGTAGATCGTAGGAACACGCACATAATTTAACAACAACAACACGATTGACATGCACTCGCCGCGCTTCCACACCACACGAGCAAGCAAGAACGCGCACAAACAAAGAAGCAACCCCTCCCCGTACGCACCTGACACGTCAGGGCCATGGTGTGGTAGCCCCCGGGCCCGACGCTGATCTGCCGCACGAGGGCCCCGCTCCCGCCGGAGAAGGTGGGTATGAGCCGAGGGTCCAGGACGTCCTCGTGGTCCCCGTGCCCCGTGTACTCGTGCTTGCCGAAGGCGTAGACGGTGCCCTCGCGAGTCAGCACGCACGAGTGGACCGACCCGGCGTAGACCTCCTTCACCTTGCTGTGGAGACCCTCCACTCTGCGCGTTTTTTTTTTTTTGTGTGTGTGTGTGTGCAATGTGTGTTTGGGTTTTTGAAGCATCGACCGCGCTTACCGGCTGACCAATGAAAATACGTTGTAGTGCCATCGACACAAATCAAAAAGTTCCCTGGAGAGGGGGCCAAAATGAGTGCGCATGTGTGTGGTTGAGTTAGCATCGACGGCGCTCGCCGCCAGATCAATGAAAAGACGGCAGTCTTACAGCGGGGTCACCAACGCGCTTTTGCGTGCGTGTGTGTGTGTGCGTGCTCCTTCCAAGTTTAACGTGGAAGAGACCAGTGATAAGGAAGACGAGATATACGGCAGCAGCAGCAGCAGCAGCAGTGGCAGCAAAATATTTGGAGACGTGGTCGGGGGGGGGGGTCCTCCGACAGCGGGGGGAGGAGGTGGGCCGGCGTGCGTGCGCAATGTGCGCGTGTGCTTGTACCTCGCTTAAACGAAAAAACAGACCAACCGGCTGGCCAATGACAAAGCTTCTTTAGGTGTATTGTGTAGTCAAAGTTGTCAACTCCTCGTCACCTAGAAGGCGTGTGCCTGTCCGCGACGTCCCCAAGGCCCAACCGGCCGTTCTCTCCCGCCCCCCACGTGTATAACTCCCCCGAGGCCGTCACCGCCGCCGTGTACGCGAACCCGCACGCCACCTGTGGAGTTCCAAAACGAAAGAAAATCCCACGACAAAATGTTTACACACACATGCATTAGCAACCGGTATTAATCAGCAGGGCTTCATTTTTTTTATGATACTCGCAGAGTTTCCTCCAAGTTTTCTTACGATCTACGACGGTGGTCTAATGCTCGTCAGGTCTGGGGGTGGGTGGGGGTGGGGGTGACGGAGATGCATAAACCTCTGCCACTCCATCCCGATCTCGTCTTTGAAGCCGGGGGGGGGGGGGGGGGGGGAATCCAATACGTGGATGGCGAAATCCTTAGA